CAGTGCTTCAACCATGTATTTCCATTGATATAATCCAGTTTCCTAGTACTGCATTGACTGAGCTTTGTATTTCTTTCCTCCCAGCCTTCAACCTTATCCTTATTGTACCCATTGATTTAAATCCAGCTACCTTGCTTTTCAGTAACTCCTCCCAGCTAGATCATAATTTTTGCATAGATATTTAGACCAACAAATATTTAGGAATTTGGATAATTATATAACATGTCGTGTTGAGTATCTACATAAATACACAACTTTCACAAATAGGAACCTTAAGAATCATGTGGAAATCCAAAATGGGGAAAAGAACTGAAACAATTCTCTACCCAAATTTGATAACAGTGGTGCTTTATAAGAAGCTAGGCAAGGCTTAAAAACAGTTTACCAAAAGTCTATTTGAGACCCAGACAACATCCCATAAAGCAACTCACCTCCTCCTGGGTAAGAATTTAAACTGATACTCAACACCAACACACACTACAATTCCCATGTCCTAACAGGAGTCTTTAATGTGGGGACTCAACACTGATAACAAAAACCCAGAACGTTTGTCTTTGTGAGCTCATATCTACATATATTTTTGAGCAGTTTTAGTTTAATTGTCAAGGCTGGTCTTTTGGCAGAGCTGTCACTATTAGTGACTGATGGTTTTTAAATTAAGAAGGCAGTGTGATCAAAATGCTAATGTTCATAATACTAAGCAGACCTTTACACAATTCTTGATTGGTGAATGCTTAACTACACTGAAATATGGTTATGAATGTACGCCTTTTCAGAGACAGTCCTTCCAACGAGATGTTAAACTAAGGCTTCATCTGCCTGCTCAAAAGATTGTGGTACTGTTCAAACAAGAGTAGAGTATTCTGGTCTCCAGCACAACATTTCTTCCTCAAAAGAAATAGGTAATTGATTGATCTGCTAATTCATTCACTGCCCATGGAACCTTATAGCAAAATTTACCCAATTAATACTAACTTTTGGACATTGTCAGGACATGGTGAGATAACTCAAAACTGCATATTCATTAGTTAGTGCAGTGGAGATGAGACAGTCTCATGAAAAAAGGCAACATCCCAATAATGTAAGCAAAGAAACTTAACATTTTCTTCACCTATCTTCAAATAAATTCAGACAAAAGTGAGGAAAAATATATAAACATCTGATCAAATTCTTATGATAAGCATCTTTTGTAGGAGCAAGAGTAGGCCATCCCATGTGCCTGTTCCACCATTCAATTAGATCCTGGCTGCTCTCCAATTTAAATCCATGAACCTGCCTCAGTTCTTTATTCCTGAGCATCCTGATCTAGCAAAAAGCCATCAAATTTTTAAAGTTTAGTTTAACAAACCTCAACTTCACTGGGGAAGAGCATTCCATATTTCCACAATTTTCCTACAAAAGGAAATTCTTAATGTTACCGCTAAATAGTTTCTCTTCATCTACTACATCAACCTCTTTAAATCATCTTAAAACACTCTAGGTTAGTCCATTCTAGAGGATATTCTATAAACAAGGGAATATGAGCTTCTAAAGAATCCATCCTCATAATAACCCTTTCATATCTGATCATTCCAATGAATCTGTGCTGCCCTAAGGCTCATATATCCTTTCAGAACTAATCTTAATACTTAAAATGATATGTAATAAGGACCTTATACAATAATATAAACTCTTACCCCATTGTATTCCAGCTCCCTTGGGATCAATATCAATATTCCATTTATTTTTTAAAATATTGTTGTGCGTGTCCAGCACCTTTCCTTTACTTGGACTTTAAATATTTCTGCTCCTCTACAGTATACACTATTCAATATTCAGAAAACATTGTCAATCTGATATTCAAATTGGGCTTCAAACTTTGTAACATTGAAGAGAACTATGGTAGCTGCGGTTCAATCTCAATCACCAATAGCTCCTTGGACCTTTCTCCTCCATCCAAGTCATTTATAGGGATTCCAATATTCTCCAGTTGTATAAGGTATTTAATGACGATAGCATTAAACTGTATTAGCATGTGGTTTATTCATCTGCTAAATTGGATCTTTGTTTATTGAGCCTGTCCTTTTAAACCACAAAATTTTAATTGTTTCCAATGTGAAATTAAAGATGAGTTCAACGATATATTTTAGATCGAAAGGTCTTTGGAAACTTCTGCTCCTAGGTCAAGATAAAAAGAAAGCAGTATCAGTGTGAACTGATGACTTCCTTTTGTACTGAGATTTCAAAAGGCTTACAGTATGAAGTATATTAAACCCTCAAATTCTTGAATGCCATCTTGAATATGGCAAGAGATTTACTAATTCACAGCTGAAGCTGAACAGTAATGTCTAGTGAGAAAAATATTTTCTATTAGTCTGAACTAATTAGACATGGATCATGGATGTTTTAAGGAGGAGATAACGACACTTCTCTAAAATTCATGATTTTAATCTACACAGTCTTTGTTGCAAGTCATAGATTAGGAGTCGAAGAAATTCGAAGCCAGTTGACTCGTCAGACCACGTAGCTGTTGCCAGCTGAAATGTGGAAATTAGCAGGATAGGCAAGGCTAATATTTGTGTAAACTTTGTAAGAAATGGAAGTGCCTGGAAGCACAAGTGGAAGAAATAACTCTATGGGGACTAACTTCAACTCAAATTAAATACACTTCAGAAACAGGTGAGCACAATACAAGGGAGAATTTTTTTCACAAATCCCATCAGAAATATGCACATGCTGATTTAATAAGATTTTAGATAGGGATACACAAGATGAAAGGTTGTTTAAAACTGCGGTGACATTGAGATAAAGTTAATACATGAAATCCTAAAGTTAATCTAAATGAAGAATGCCAAATAGGCAATCAACAAAGAAAACTGGGGCGAAACAGATTGAGTTAAATGAACCATTCTAATTTACATTTATTTGAATTTTGTTTCTTTAATAAAGCTGGTTCATAACTGCAGCACGAGATATACAACCTCATTGTTAATTATTTTCCAGTGCATCCAGGACAATTGTATCTTTTATATCTATCAATGTTCATGGATTTATTGCCCTGCTGAACACAATACTGCCCAGATTAAACTACAGTTAAAAAGCATTTGGTTCATAGAAAGCATGAGCTTATTTGTGTAAGTGGTCTTTTGTGCTGGGCCTGAGTGTAAAATAATGTGCAGAATGTCAAGAACAAAATTGGATGGAGTAAACCTAAGGTATGAATCCTGAAATAATGAGATTAAAGGTGATTGGATTGGAGTTTTTAAATAAGAAAATAATTTCATTCTAGAAGGAGAATCTAGTCTTGCTACGGTCCAACACCTTGTGAATACAGAAAGCAAAAATTAAACAGCTTTAGGACACCATTTGCAAAAATTAGGAGGTACATCTCCCTGCATGTCTTGTCTCAGTTTACACAGAAGTCTAAATAGGATTTGACATAACATCTGAAAGAAATATGCACTAGTCTTATTTTTTTAATTATTACTGTCCATATTCAGAAACTAGGGAACCTATTCTCACTTCACATACAAGGCAAGAGCTCTCTATTAATTCCTTTAGTTTCATGTCGATTATCCAGAGATTGGATATGTTAAGATAGATTCTGGAGTGATAAATTCACTTACAGGAATGATCACTAACTGAAAGTATATATCACACAACTCAAAAAATGTAAGAGTCAAACTGAGAAAGCCATAACATCTGCCAAGATTCAGTTGATGTTAGATGGAATTTTTTTAAAAAGCCAGTAGTGTTTTTAAAAAAAAAGAGGAAAACAACCTAGATGGATTTTTTGGATGGTTGTGGTACTTTTCTGGGGGAGGGGAGGGGTGAAAGGCCTCAGATTTGCCGTTGATCCTCCATAATTTAACTGATGAGGGTTGCATGTGTATAAAACACAAGCAGTTAAGGAAATTTTCTTTTGTACCACAGTACGGTTCTTTGGTGGGGGGCAAGGGGGAATTATCTATAGGGCAAACCAGAGGCAGGAAGTTATCATTCAGGGAACCCCTCCTTTGCAAAGTATCTGACCTATCTCAAAAGTAGCAAGAATTAAACTGGACCCAGTTCCAAGTACTAGGCTCATCAGTAAATAGTGGTACGTGCAAAATAAATTATGATGACGATGTTAATGGGGTTATTACAAGCCTAGCATCAAAAATAAAACTGCTGTTTATTTGAAAATTTTTAAGAAAAAAAGTAAAACTTCTGAGAACTGGGCATCCAAATGGCACAATATGCTTTTATATTGAAAGAGCTTGGAAAACTCTTTTTACCAAATTAAATGTTTAGGACACCAGTTCCAGAAAGGTACTTTAGAAAGCAAGAACCTCCCTTGTATCATGCCTCACTAATTCCCAGAATAGTCACAGAAGTTTAAAAATTTTAAAAGCAGTACACAAAATTCCCCAATTTACAGACTCAGGTTAACAAAGCACAGACCAGGTTACTTCATTTAACCATTACTACTTATTACAAGTAGCTATAGGTAAACAATTACGAACCATTGGCATGTAACTCTAAAATCCTCTTAAAACTCCCCTCTAAACACACACATATGGACAGACAAAAAAGGTAGATTTTATGGGCACAGGGGAAACTGGAAAGACAGTTTGGTAGTCCCCATTCACAGGATCTGCTGAGATGATTCGTGTACTAATCAGAATGCTGCTTCCAAGTTTTTCTTCTTTGAATACTTTCACTGGTCCACAGGAGTGGCTGTTCCACTCTTATAAAGGTGTCGGAGTTAGTAAAAGTCACGGGTTACAGAAGCTGAAGGAAAAAATAAACTGGTTTATCTCAGACTTAAAGTGACTTGTACTGCAGAGAATAGAGAGGACCCCTGAGCTGGAGGAAATCAGATGACTTCTTTCTGTCTTGTTCACAGACCCAGGCTGCTGAGCCATTTAAGCTGATTCATACAACATAGTTGTTGGCAGGTAGAAGGTCTTATTGTCAATAACCAGTTACTAGCTCACAGACTAAAGAGAGTTACTTTTTGCTCAGTGAATTTCCATTTGTACATACATTTGGCTCCAGCTCATTTGCAATACACTTTACCACTTTTTGAGCAAGCAGCTGTGTAAACTGTGCTTATAATGAGAGAGAGTTTACTTGTTTTTAAAAATTTAAACAATCCTTCAATAAACCCAGTCTTCAAAGAGAAAGTTCCTTTCCTATTTCAGTTCACAATTTAAAAACAGAAAATGAAAAGATATGATCATTACAATGGACGATTACTACTTTCTGCAGTGGGAGAAGAGTTATAGTGCAGTAATAATGGAGGATTTCAATTATCCTAATATAGATTAGAAAAGGTAGAACATTGGTAGTGTGTTCAAGTGAACTATTTTTGGTTAGTACATTTCCAGCTCAATGAGGAAAATTACTTTACTGGATCTGATTCTAGGAAAATGAGGTGACTGAAGTGAAGCGAGGGTTGAGAACCAGAGAAGACAGATTTAAAGCGATTGGCAAAAGAATCAAAAGGCAATGTGAGAATTTTTGTTTTACTGCGCGATTATAGTTGGAATGCAATACCTGAAAGGATAAAGAAGGCAGATATAATCATTCCATTACCTTTTGAAAACTATAAATATTGAATGGGAAAAGATATTTGCAGGTCATACAATAATGTGTGGAATGATTAAGAGATACAGTAGAGCTAATTAACATAGGCTAAATGTGATAATAACTAGAAATAATTTTAATCAATATATTTAATAGTACCAAACATTTACAAATATTTATCTTTTTATTTAAAATTTTAAATATTTTAAGGCATAACTTTCTGCATATTAACTTGGCCTACTTTACAGGAATCAATTTGTGAATTCAAGGTAGTAACAGCTCAGTAATTCAAGCCCCAGATGAATTTTGCATTTCCAATCTTGTTTTTATATGATAAGATAAAGAAGTGCAGATGCTGGAAACCTGTAACAAACAAAAACAAATTGTTGGAGAAACTCAAAAGGTCTGGCAGCATCTATGGAAAGAAAACAGAGTTAATATTGAGTCCAGTAACCCTTCTTCAGAATTTGTTTTTCTTTTAATACACATGTACATACCTGCTTGACATTATATCCTGCTTTAGCACTAGTTTCAATATACATCACATTCAGTTCCCTGGCTTTCCGCTCTCCTTCCTCCATTGAAACCTGCCTTTAATTAAAATGTAGCAAAATATCAGCACGTGATCGAAAGGAAAAACAGAGAACCATGACATTAACATATTCTAGTTCAGAAATTATATAAGTAACAATATCCAGCCTATCAATAGTTCTAAAGACATTAAATAATTTCTTTTCTACTTTGCTCACACCATACATTCTCGAATAAGAAATTGTCAATCTCTTGAACCTATTTATTTAAAAGATTCATACGTATAAATGATTTTTTTTATCTTGAGAACTGAGAAAAGAAGAAAACTGAAGAATGGCATATTCTTCCTCACTCTGGCAAGTGGAAATTTACAAAATCCATCAAGATCTAACTTTCAAGAAAGGAGTGATTGATCGATTGTCACGAGTACTGAAATACAGTGAAAAGCTTTGTTTATGAGCAGTACAGGCAGATCACAGCAAGCAAAGGATGTGCAGATCAAAAAGACTTAGAGGCATACAGGTTACGGATTTAGAATTTAAAGTTTAAAAAGTATAGAATGGTTATAAGAAATGTTAGAGTTAGATCTGCTGTAGGAGCTCGCAAGGGGTTATCTGGTGTCAGTGCCATCTTGCATTTCTGTAGAGGGTGTAATTGGCAAATAACAGCATGAAATCATAACTGGCAGAGTAGCAGCTCCACACATTTATATTGTCTAAATAGTCTAAGTATTTTACCATAGTGCAAAATACCTCAATTCTTGGGAAACTTGCCTGCAGGGCAGAAATTCAACACTGTCGTTGAAGATTCACCTGAATGCAGAATTTCAATAATCCTAGAGTTCTTTTTGCAGTCAAGGAAATTTCATTATTTTAACTCCGTCCACACCCTTGCCCTGTACTCGCTGACCTACATTGCATGACCAGAAACAATCATTTTGCATTTTTTCCCCTCATTTTTGAAATTCTCTTCCTTCTTTATAGATTAGCCACAGCCAGGATCCTTCCCAAGAGCTTGAATTCCTTCCCCAACCTCTCCAGCGTTCTTCTTTTAAGATGCTTCTTAAAACCTATCATTTTATTCAGTTTTAACCCTTCTCTTCCAATATATTGCCTTCTGACTCAGTGCCTAATTTTGCAACAGTCTTCATATGAAACACCTTGGAATCTTTTAATTTGATTAGTACCTTAAATTTAATAGTTATCCATCTGGCATGTAGAGTAACAAACTTCCACTACAAAATAAACCTGTAGCCACCACTGTCATCTTCTCAGTCCATTGTGAACTGCTGAAAGTTTAAAAAAGGTAGCTGAGAATCAAGACCCATTCAAGTCTGCTTTGGAGACAATGGCCCAAAATTTTATGATTAGTAGAGAAACAAAGGTACTGAACTTCAGAACACAAAAGAAAAAAAATTGTTAAATGTACGATCCAACAGTTATTTAGATGTGCCTGAAATCTTGAATTTGAATCTGGTTCAAAGAGGTAATAACCACATTTTCCCTCTAAGCTTCATGCCATATTGCAATACCAAAAATTCACCAACAGACCACATAAATTGGTCCCTAAATAATTATCACTTACAAATGTTCAAAATTTTTTTTTTTTTTTTTTTAAAAAGTGATCTCACACTTATCTATGATCTACAAAAATGTTATCACCAAGAATGCTGTTAATGATGGCGAGTACTGACAGTTTGTCATCAATTCCCTACTGCTCTTCTCGACACAGAAACTGATCCTTTGAGATCCAAATTCTCACAAATGAGACCCCAAAGTAAATAGTACAGACATTTAGTGCACATTCCATCAGAAACATACCTGAGGTATCCACGGCATAATTTATTAATCACCTGACTTAACAGGGGAATTACAAGAAATACAGCTCACTTCAAATAAGGCTGCTACTAATATTAATTTTAAAAAATTGAATGAGAAAAAATGTTGACATGAAATACCCATTTAAGCTGGTTACCTTTTGTCAGCCAGATCCGTTTTATTCCCAACCAGCATAATGATGACATCACTTCCTCTTTCTGTCCGTACATCATCAATCCATTTGGAAGTCTGTTGAAAAGAGTTCAAATCTGGAGGTAGTGGGGACAGGACAAACAGAAACAAAGACAAAGACAAAGACAATCTAAGAATATAGTGAAGCAACTTAGATGGTTATTTTCACTGCAACGGGCTGTTAGTAAAAATTGACAGTAGATGCAGTCAGTGTAGCTTTATGTGGGGCAGATTTCTCATCTTTAAAATCCATGCAATGATGTTCACTTCCTGCCTTCGTTGAATTAAATCACCATTTACCAAATTAAAAATTTTATTGCAGATATTAGTTTCCTCAATGACCAATAAGCTCGAGATCTGGCAGAAATAGGTTTCTTGGATATGCTCCAGAAACTTGTAAAGTCAGAGGTTCAGATCAAATGGTTTACAGCCACCTTTGTTTATGGTGCGGAGGTTCAATTGTTCCTTTTTTCATGCACAAGTTCATGTTTAAGCAAAAAAACCTTGCTGCTGATTTTATATCAAAGGCTGATTTTGCAAATGCCTCCATATTTCATATTTAGTTGCCGATCCTAATCTTGGGCAAATACAGCATAATGTGACAAAAATTATGACTATAACAGAACGAGTTAAGTTGAGTGATAAAGCGGACCTTTTCCCACCCTCCATATCTCTCCCACAGGTTCTTTGCTTTCCTCTTCACATTTTACGGCCACCTCCACTGCAAATCTTCCATACACTAGTTCAAACTTGGTGAGTAATGAATTGAGTGGACAAGTTTTCAAGTTAAAGCCCTACAAGACTGTAATATAATCTACGTTGACATGTCAGTGCCATTCTGAAGGATTATCACATGATAAGATGGCACAACTGACAATAAGTTGTAAAACTGAAGCTCAGACTAGTTTTTCCGAGATTGCAAAGTATAGCATTTTCAAAGACGAGAGGTTTTTCCTAAGTGTCCTGGAAAACATCTCAGTAAAATCTTCAATTATGAATAGTCACTCACTTAATTGACACTTGAAGCCTGTACACAAATTGTCCACTATCCTTGTCATCATGTTAATTGGCTGTGAAGCCTTTTGGAACATTACAAGGACATGAAGATTTCTTTTCTTGTGCTTTGTGTTCTATGCCATTTCATTTATTCACCAGCTTATTTCTTTCTCCACCCTTCTTAAACCCCTCTTCCATGCAAACTTTCCTTCAATTTCTCTCCATTTCACCCTTTTCTTCAGCCATATCCCTCTCCTTTCTCCACAAGGAAATTCCCACCCACCTCACTCCCTCACCTTTCTGCTTTTTCTTGCACTCTCTCAGATTTGCTTTTATCTTTGCAATTGTTTCTGAAACTATGGATGAGATGAGGCACCAGGATTTGAACTCAGAAGTTCGAAGTGGACATTCGGATGCAAGAGAACGGCGCATACTGCATCCAAGATTAGTGAGAAGGACTGATCAAAATGATCTGCTGTTTGTGGACTGGCATTTTAGGCTTAATCTCCTTGTTGCTGATGCTGCATATTCTACTACTAGGGACACATGTCTACTGACAGGAGGAAAAATCTCTTCACCCAGAGGATGGTGAGGCTATGGAATTCTTTGCCACAGAAAGTGATTGAGGTCAAAACATTGAATGTTCAAGAAGAATTTAGAAATATTTCTTGGGCCTAAAGGGATCAAAGCAGGAACAGGGTATACAGTTGGATGCTCAGCCATGTTCATATTGAATGTTGGAGCAGGCTCAAATGGCTGAGCGGCCATAGCCTGCTCCTTTTTTCTAACTTTCCCATTTTAGAACCTGCAATTTAAGTAAAATAACATGTTGATATGGAGAGTGATTTGCATTAAAAAAAAAATCAAAAGGGAGAGAATAGAAATAACTAACCTGCTGGGGGTTTGGGAGAAAGTAGGGAATGAATTAAATCAAGGGTTAGTACATTCTGTTTAATCCTACACTTCTGTCCTTCCCAGCACATCCAGATCCATGATTGGGTTCCCCTCACCACATCTGGCTTTACATTAAACACCACCCAGCAAACACATCTTACACTCCCCTTTCAGCATGAAGACCCCATTCCCAAACCTTCTAAACTTCATCTTTATGCAAGCACAGGATATGCAACATCTGTCCTTTTATCACTTGCCTTTTCAATATCCAAGGTCTCAGTCACTGCTTCCAGGTGAAGCAGTGAATTATGCATACTTACCTCAATACAGTATTTGATCAAAATTTTCTCTACATTAGAAAGGCCAAATTCAGATTCTGTGACTGCATTCCAGACAGCCTCTGATCAGTTCACCTGTTTGACCCAGAGCTTCCAACTGCAACTGATTGCAATTCTTCATCCATTTCACCGGTCTCTTTGTTCTCAGCCTCCTATGCTGTTCAAATGAAGCTCAACATAAGCTTAGGGAACAGCTTTTGATTAGGCACTTCATAAATTGTTAGTCTGAAAATCAAGTTCAAAATTTCAGATCATAAAGTAGGGATCCAGAAGTTTTTTTCTGGACAGCAGTGGTGACTGATAGAAACACACAAAATTGGAGTCGGAGCAAGCCATTTGGCCCTTCAAGCCTCCTCCATCTTTCAATGTGAACATCGTTATTTGTAAGAATAATAGGGTGGTTATGGGGGATTTTAACTTTCCAATCATAGCCCAGAACTGCCATAGTGTTAGGGGCTTAGATAGAGAGGAATTTGTTAAGCGTGTCAAGAAAATTTTCTGATCCAGTATGTGGATGTACCTACTGGAGAAGGTGCAAAACTTGACTTACTCTTGGGAATAAGGCAGGGTGGGTGACCAAGGTGTTAGTGGGGTAGCACTTTGGGGCCAGTGACTATAATTCTGTTCATTTCAAAATAGTAATGGAAGAGGATAGACTGGATCTAAGAGTTAAAGTTCTAATTTGGAGGGAGGCCAATTTTGAAGGTATTAGGGAAGAACTTGCCAAAGTTGATTGGAGGCAGATGTTTCCAGGTAAAAAAGGGACCACTGGAAAATGGGAAGCCTTGAAAAAAAAAAACGAGTCCAGAGACTGTATGTTCCTGTTAGGATGAAGGGCAAAGCTGGATGTCTAGAGAAATTGACATTTTGGTCAAGAAGGAGGAAGCATGCGTCAGGTATAGACAGCAGAGAACAAGTGAATCCCTAGAACATGAAAGCAAAAAGGAGTATATTTAAGAGGGAAATCAGGAGGGCAAAAAGGTGAAATAGCTTTGGCAAATAGGGTAAAGAGAATCCAAATGGAGTCGGCAAATACATGAAGGACAAAAGAGTAACTAGGGAGAGAATAGGGCCCATTAAAGATCTGCAAGGCCGCCTATATCGCAGAAGATGGAGGAAATACTAAACTAGTATTTTGCATCAGTGTTTACTGTGGAGAGGGACATGGAAGATAGAGAACTTGGGGAAATAAACAGCAACATTGTGAAAAATGCCCATATCAGAGGTGGTGCTTGATGTTTGAAAAAGCATAAAAGCAGACAAATCAGGTGGACCCTCGAACTCTGGGAAGCGATTGCTCAGCCCTTTGCTTAGATATTTGTATCATTGGTAGTCACAGGTGAGGTGCCAGAAAACCGGCAATTGGCTAGCGTGGTGCCACTATTTAAGAAAGGTGGTAATGAGCCTGACATCAGTGGTGGGCAAGTTGTTGGAGGGAATCCTGAGGGACAGGATATACATGTGTATGGAAAGGCAAGGACTGGTTAGGGATAGTCAACATGGCTGTGTGTGGGGGAAATAGTGTCTCACTAACTTGATTGAAAAAGTAACGAACAGGATTGATGAGGGCAGTGTATGTGATCTATACGGACTTCAGTAAGATGTTTGACAAGGTTCCTCATGGTAGACTGAGTAGCAAGGCAAGATCATGTGGAATACAGTGAGGACTAGCCATTAGGACACAGAACTGGCTCAAAAGGTTAGAGAGAGATAGCGGTGATGGAGAGTTGCTTTTCAGACTGGAGGCCTGTGACCAGCAGTATGCCACAAAGATCGGTGCTGGATCTACTGCTTTTCGTCACTTATATAAATGATTTGGATGTAAACATAGGAGGCATGGTTAGTAAGTTTGCAGATCACACCAATAATGCAAGTGTTGTCTACAGCTAAGAAGGTTACACCAGAGTAAAATGGGAGCTTGATCAGATGGGCCAAAGAGTAGCAGATGGAGTTTAATTCAGATAAATGTGAGGTGCTGCATTTTGGAAAGGCAAATCAAGGTAGGACTTATACATTTAATGGTAAGGTCTTGTTGAGTGCTGCTGAGCAAGCGACCCTGGAGTGCAGGTTCATTGTTCCTCTAAAGTGGAGTCAAAGGTAGATAGGTTAGTGAGGGCGGCGTTTGGTAGCTTGCCTTTATTGGTCAGTGCATCAAGTATGGAGTTTGGTCATGTAGTTATTCAGGACATTGGTTAGGTCTCTTTTGGAATACTGTGTTCAGTTCTGGTCTCCCTGCTACAGGAGAGATGTTATGAAACTTGAAAGGGTTCAGAAGAGATTCAAGAATGTTGCCAGGGTTGGAGGATTTGAGCTAAAGGGAGATGCTGAATAGGCTAGGGCTATTTTTCCTGGAGCATCAGAGGCTGAGGGGTGACCTTATGGGGTTTTATAAAATCACAACAGGCATGAATAGGGTGAATAACCAAGGTCTTTTCCCTGGGGTGGGGGAATCCAAAAGTAGAGGCCATAGGTTTAAGGTGAGAGGGGAAAGATAAAAAAGAGGGACCAAAACGGACAGCTTTTAGTGCATGTATGGAATAAGCTGCCAGAGGAAGAGGAGGAGGCTGGTACAACAACACCAACACCAGTTAAAAAAGCACCCAGATGGGCATATGAATAAGGAGGGTTTAGGAGGGATATGGGTCAAATGGGACTAGATTAATTTCAGATATCTGGTCAGCATAGACCAAAGCGTCTGTTTCCATGCTGTACAGCTCTGTGACTCTAACTGATTATTAAACTCAGTATCCTGTTCCTGCTTGCTCCACTATCTGTGACAGATATTTCCACAATCCCACTATTCTCCAGGTGAAGAATTTTCTCCTCACCTTGGCTTCAACTGGCCCAGCCCATATCCTTAAACTGTGATCCCTGATTCTGGACTCCCCAGACATCGAGAACATCTTCACTGTGTTTATCCTGTCTATTCCTGGTGGAAATTTATAGGTTTCTGATCGGATTCTCATTCTTCCAAACTCCTGTGAATATTGTCCTAACCAATTCAGCCTCTCTCAATACGCCCATCCTGCCAAATCTTAAAATCCTTCCACAGACAGAACATCTTTCCTCAGATAAAGGAGACCAAAACTGCATACAATACTGCAGCTGTAGTCTCAACAAGGCCCTATACAATTAAAGCAAACCATCCCTGCTCCTGTACTTGAATCCTCTCACTATTATTACAGTTTACCTTCTTCACTATCTGCTGAATGTAAACAAACATTCAGCAACAGGTGTACAAGGATACTCACATCTTATGGCACATCCTCTTTTCCCTATATACACCATTTAGACAATAATAGGCCCTCTTGTTTTTACTACCAGAGTGGATAATCTCACATTTATTCACATTTACTGCATCTGCCACGAATTGCCCACTTACTCAATTTGTCCAAACTTCACCAAAGCCCCTCCCATTCAGCTTTGCATCATCTACAAACTTGGAGATATTATATTTAGTTCCCTCATCTAAATCATTAATTTCTAATGAATAGCTGGAGTCCGAACATAGATTCCACCAGAACCGAACTGGCCACTACCTGCTGCTTGGCGAATAAAAAACCTAATTACTCCTGTTGTTTCCTGTCCATGTAAGCAACCACCCTCAATCCCATTCATTTTAATTTTGCATACTAATCTATTATGTCGAACTTTATCCAAAGCCTCCTGATAGCCGAAACAAACCACATCCACTGCTCATCCATTACAATTCAACTAGTTACCTCAAAAAAAAAATCCAGTGCATTTTTCAAGCACAATTTCTCTTTTGTAAAACCATTCTGACTTTGTCCAGTCCTGTCACTGTTTTCCAAGTGCTCCGCTGTATAATCTGTCAGATGGACTCTAGCATTTTCCTCACTACCAGTGTCAGTCAAACTGATCTGTAGTTCCCGGTCTTCTCTTTCCCTCCTGTTTTAAAAAAAGTGGCGTTATGTTAGGTACCTTGCAGTCCACAGTCTATAGAATCTTGAAAGTTGACCACCAATGCTTCCCTATTTCTAGGGCCACTTCCTTAAGTATTCAGAGATATAAATTATCAGGCCAAGGGGATTTATCGGTCTTTAATCCCATCAATTTCCCCGATATCATTTCCTTACCAATACTAATTTCCCTCAGGTCGTCCCTCACACTAGACCCCATGTTCCCCAACATTTTTTGGGATGTTAACCATGTCCTCCTTTGTGAAGGTAGGACCAGAATATAAATTATATTGGTTTACCACCTCTGTTTCTCTTTATAACCTCCTCCATTTCTGACTGTAAGGGACCTAAAATTGTCTTCTGTTCAAATACCCATACAAGCTTTTACAGTAAAGCTTAGTCTCATACTTTACTTCCCCGTTGTTAAACCAATCTTTGTCCTCCCCTGCTAAAATAAACTGCTCCCATTCCTCAGTGTCTACAGCATTTCTTTTTGGATCTAAGACAATCCCTGAACTCCCAGTCAGCCAAGGTTGGGCCACCTTTCCTGTTTTATTTTTATATCAGACAAGAATGAACAATTACTGCCGTTCCTCCATGTACTCTAAGTGTTTGCAATTGCCTATCCACTGCATCCCTTTAAGTAACACTCCCCAATTTATTAAAGCCAGCTTGTGCCTCATACCACCGCAGTTTCCTTTTAGACTCAGGATTTTAGTCCCAGAATCAACCATGTCATTCTCTAACTTGAAGAATTCTACCATATAATGATCACTTTTCTGAAGGGGCCTTACACAAATTGTTGATTATTCCCTTCTCCATACACAATCTAGGATGGTTCTGCTTTTCTAATTCACACTTCCATGAGACCCATCTTGTGTGTCTATTAGCCCCATTAACATCAAATTTGGTCTTCCACCATCATAGCTTCTGTCACTATTATGGGCCTTCACTTGCGCTTTCCCTTCCTCCATACTTATTTAAATTTTATTGTATCTTCAACATTTTCCAATTTTGAAACAACCTAATCATTAACTGTTCTTCTCATATGACAGACATGGTCAGATTTGCTGAATATTTCCAGATTTTTCTACATTTATTATTAATCTATTAACAATTTACACAGGAAGAAAAGCAAAATGGAAACCTTCTGCACTCCAAGACTAACAACAGCATTCTCTGCTGGTAGGCCATTTATTTCAACTAGATTTTTCCATATACATATTTTTATAGTTAGACCATTAGTGCCAATTTCCTGCATTTCCTTTCGTCCCGCAAATATCAACTATTTACTGCTTTATCCAACTTTCAAGAATGTACAGGCTGCTTTCTCATTGACTCTCCAGCCCTGTATCATGTTAACATGACCTCTACCATCCCTGTATTTATTCATTTAGCAGCCGAATGTGTAACTCCTTCACAATCAGAAAATGCTTTAATATTTTGAATCCATTTCTGAAACATCTCTTAAATACCAAGAGGTAGTAGGAACTGCCAATGCCGGAGTCTGATATAACAAGGTGTAAAGCTGGATGAACACAGCAGGCCAGGCAGCAGAGGAGCAGGAAAGGTGACGTTTCAGGTCTGGACCCTTCTGGAGAAGCTTTCCTTCTCCTCTGATGCTGCCTGGCCTGCTGTGTTCATCCAGTGCTACCTTGTTATCTTAAATACCAAAATTGAATAACATAGTCCCTGTGCATTGGTAGCCGTGGATCAGCCTGAACGTGACTTGCTTGTAACATCTAGATAGTGAAAAAAGGAAGCATGAGAGATTAGGAAAGAAAGCAAGACCAAATAAAGCACATTCTTTTATCATGACGAATGATTCGTACAGAGGAATAATTGCTTTAAAGTTAGGAGTGGGGGGGGGTGCGGGGTAAAATCTGTACCTTTTTGGTGAAAAAGTCATAATCAATGTTGAATATTACCAGGGAAGCCAATGAAATAGACAAATAGCTTCAAAAAAAGCAATTAGACATTTCTTGCAATTGGGGGTGGGAGGGTCACATACATATTAGGCTTGAATCGAAAAAGGAATGGCTTGACAGGTGTAATACCTTTTAGTTGTCAGTTCTTAACCCCAAGCAAATCAGAAATCCAAATTAATATTTATGGTGCAAGATCAAGAATGCAATGGACAAATGGGAGGTTCCAAATCTATTGTAAACAGACTGTGGATTGGTTTTTTAACACACCAAGTTTTATTTTCAGGATGCCTGCTTTCAAACACCAATTTCCTTTGACATCGGAGCCAGTGAAGATAACAGGATCATTCTTGGGAAAAAACAACTTAGCCATGTTTTAAAAGTGACAAAGCTATTTGGCTGACTCTTAACTGAATGGGTAAGAAATGCTGGCCTCGCCCGTGCAACCCACATCCCACGAATGAATAGAAAGTTACCAATTGTTACATTTAGGAATCAAAATGAATAATTAATTAAGTAACAGTCTGAATGCACTGCTATTCTCAACAGTGGTATTACTTTCACTAATTGCATCACTAGTTAACTACACAGTAGGGAACATGAAGAAATGATTAGCTGCAGCCAACTATGCATAAGAAGAAAAGCTATTCCTGTGAGAAAATGGAAATAGAAGCGTGTCATGCACAGGACCAGGAGCAAGAGAAAGAATTAGCAGGAATTTGCACTCACTTGTAATATCATAGACTACAACAGCAATAGTGGAGTCACGGATGTAGCTGGGAATCAGACTGCGGAACCGCTCCTGGCCGGCTGTGTCCCAGAGCTGCAGTCGAACCTGCAGAGACCAGGTCCAGGACAGCAGAGAAAGAGAAAAGGCAAGGGGAAAATGACAGGATCAAGGAACAATCTCAATCAGCACAGCGGAATGCCACTTAAAAGGGAGGAGGTCAGAATCTCCACTATTGGGTTTCATGATAATCTGATTTAGTTGCAAATTTAAACAATTAGAAAGTCTGAAACGCTCAACAAGCATTTTACATCAATCTCATCTCAGGCCTGCAGAATGAAACTGGTGTCTGCATCCAATGACAATTCAATGCAATATCCTGATAACTTTCCTGAAATTCAAAGATTTGACTTATCAGATGTCAAGTATATAATTATACAATGAGAGAACATAATTCTGTGGGCACCTTTGTAACACCAGAAGATCTGTGAATTTATGGTGTATTGCATGAAGTGCAACTTTGAAACCTCTGCAGTTAGAGCTGTGCCTCGTACAAAGGGTGGAAAGTTCCAGATAACAGACACAGTCATAAGCTAGTTCAACATACATTACTCCTTGTAAAAGGTTCAGACCCCACCAACCTTTGAACCACTCAATCGTGCAAGTGTTGTGAAAATCTTGAATATGTCTTCAACTATATACTTTAAACAGTTCACCTCTTAAGATCACATTCCTGTCAATTTTCTAGATGATTGAAATGCATCCTAGTGTAAGTGACCCTTTGCACAATGTCATTTGATAATACAAACGAGATATCTCAACTTCAACCCTCTCTCATCCAAACCTCAATGATTGCAGAATTTACAGAAGCAGCAATACCCCAAAAGGGGAGTGTTCAAGTGTTATATCGAAGACTGAGATTACATTCAAGTGCTAGAACCGACTCCTTTCTCTTTAATAGCTGGAAGAGTTGTTAGAGTATAGTATTAGATAAAGGGGGCTGCAAAACTTGAACACTGGAGCTAAATCATAAGTACATACTTTCAATTCAGGATGATTTGAAAAATCTGACTCGATTGTACGCACATGGAATATATACCAGCATGAGACGAGCGGTACGTTACCAGTAGTGTACAGGAGTTTGTGGCAGGTAAATCTATGTCATAATAGACAAAGCTCCAGAAGAAATTCAAAGAAAGCTCTGCACTGATGTATACTATGGATTATTGGAGGTAGCCTGAAGAAGTCTAAGGGTGCAAGTGAAATATGTTCCAGTTCATTAACTTTCACCTAATAACCAAGGAAAGGTTTGTTTAGTCAGTAAAACCAGAATGTAGCCACAGTGAAAAAGGTATCTTAAAGCTTCCTCAAGAGCCAAGATAGACTAATTGCCAGATAGTCCATAATATTTTCATAAAGAGAACTGATTGTACTGGAATCAAAACACATACACCGAATACCTACTTGCAATATCAAACACTACAACAGCAGCAGCCGAGTCACGAATGTAGCTGGGAATGAGGCTGCGGAATCGCTCCTGGCCTGCGGTGTCCCACAGCTGGAGTCTGATCTGGGGTGGAGGAGCAGAGGGGAAAAACCAAATGGGAAAACAACACAGGAAAAATACACTGAACGGCAAAGTAAATAAAATGAAGAATGCAGGGAACCTAAAAACTTAAAAGCAGAATGGTATTTTACAAACCTACCAGAAGTTTCGTAACCATTGCGTTAATCTCATTTCTCAAATACAAAAAGCATGATTAAAAACGTGGAGCAAATTACTGCAGATGCTGGAATCTGTACTGAAAACTATAAATGCTGGAGATCACAGCAGGTCGGGCAGCATCCATGCAGAGAGACAGCAAGCTAATGTCTCGAGGCTAGGTGTGCGGAATGCGAAGATGCTCACATATCCACTCGTCTTTCCTCAGCAAGCTGCAGTGTTCCGGTGAATCACAGTGTAAACTGGAGGAACAACATCTCATCTTCAGACTAGGCACTTTACAACCTTCTGGACTTAATATTGAGCTCAACACCTTCAAACTGTGAACCAACTCACATTCCTCCCCTTCTTTTAGCTTTACTGTTATATTTTCTGTCACCGTGTCCTCTCTCCCATCCCAGTCCCACTGGGGTGGGACAGTCTGTTCTTTCAGTCTGGCAATTAGATACACCATTGTTCTGCCATTCTCACATTCCAATCACAATCTGAACTATCGACATCCTCTCTTCCCCAACACTCCACAACCACTGACCCCCCACCCCGCAACTACAGCATAAATGTGAGCTCACTTCATGTGAGCTCCGATGAAGAGCCACCCAGACTCGAAATGTTAGCTTGCTCCCTCTCTATCCATGGATGCTGTCTGAACCACTGTGATCTCCAGCATTTGATGTTTTCATTAAAAACATGGATGTCCTCTCCATAATCATCACATGAACGCACAGGAAGCAGAAGATGATTCACTGCAACATGCACCCAGTCATTAAGTATTAGATGCCTGGCTAAAGCTTCGATAGAAGCATCACTAGTATATTAGAGCTTTCTCTTATCCTCCCCTGAAAATGTGCACACATGCTGGGGTACAATTCCACATATGCTGGCTAATATTTGGTAACTGACAAGGGACATTCTTGGTATGTGACTCTAGATAGTGAATGTCAATCTGTTATCATAAAGGCAACACAACAAAGCTCAAATTCTGTCCTCACTTGATCTCCGCTCCCATTAACGATCATTCAACAATAACCACGTATAGAATCGCAGCTTATTTCAGTTCTCCCGTTAGGGAATACTTGTTCACTGGATGAGACCAATGACAAAGTTATTACCTTTATCTTCATGTCACACATGGGGCTCAAACTGAATAAGGCAAAGCACCACTTCAGAGACAGTGTGTACAGAATAATAAAGGAGCACTTATTTCCAGTGTGTTTTTCCTATACACAAATTGTACGCAGCCTTGTAGCCTACCAAAACTAGCTGGTGCCACCAGATCTTGACAATACCCTCTTTCCTACTGCTCCGTGTTCAATGGTTGGTAACAAGGTATACTGGTAAGAGATTCTCATTTATAGCCTTTTTTTGGGATAGCTCAGATTGGGAACCAAAATGGAAGTAAAACCAGTAATTTCAATCCACTGTGCTAAACATCAGCAGTATAACAAGCAGAATGACCACTGTGCTAATTGTAGACTGCTTATTTCCAGTTTAACCACTGACAACAGCTCAAAACACCAGGTCTTGGAGAATATCACAAAATTACCATAAGTTATTTAAGACAGATTTGATGCTAGACTCCTATTCTTGGACAAGGAGGACATTCTCATAATAGACCTATTTTCTGAAATAACTAGGAAGTCTGAACTCTGGATGGCTCCCTGCAAGGCCAATCAATTTCATTAATTTTAAAATGACAAATGCTGCAGTCTGCAACAGATGAGGAACAGCTCACATTGCAATTATTTTTCTGCCAGTTAATGAAGAGTCAGGTTGAGCAAACTTTGCTGGGGATTTAGGGGAGGGGGTGTTTAATTACAGGCTATGTTGACTTTTCCATTTATGGCTCCCTTGGATAGGGATCTTGAGTACAATGTGGAGACCAGATGCTTTAGCTGACAGAACAGAAAATTAAGTCTCTAAGGATAACACTTCATGTGAACCTGAGCAGATTATGCTAGCTGGCTATACAGCAGCATCCAATCATAACTGCACCTGAGTGAACAGATAACAAGGTGTAGAGGTGGATGAACACAGCAGGCCAAGCAGCAGAGGAGCAGGAAAGCTGACGTTTCGGACCTAGACCCTTCTTCAGA